CCGATCCTGCCCCCAGTACCCCAAGAAAATCCTGAACCCTCAGAAATAACCTCAAGCCAGTCCCCAATACCCCAGGAATATCCAGAACCCCAGGAATACCCAACCCCTAACGAATGCCCTGAACGTCCCGAGTCCGTAAGAGTAACCCCAGGCCAGTCTGAAAATGCCCCGGAAAACTCCCAAACCCCAGGAACCCCAGAGGAGAAATAAACAGACCCGGAAGCGAGTAATGATTAGGAATAGTTAGGAAGTTAAGTTAAGTTAGGAATAGCATTAGGCAAGCCTCCCGGCACGAAAAAAAAAAAGGAATAAGGATAAGAAGGAAGATTAGCATTAGGTTAGGAACCCCCGAAGAGAAAAAATGTTCCCCTCCCCCCCCCCTCCCCCAGGAAAAAGGAAAGAATAAGGTCACAGATGAAGTATGTGAAGATAATGAATTGAGAAGTGACGTGGCAAAATTACCACCCCGAGAAGATAAAGATATCAGCAGCTGGAATCGGTTTCGATCATTGGTTGGACCCGCTGCCCCTCACATTAATGAAAGAAAAAAAAAAAAAAAAACGTTGGAAATGGGAGGTAAAAATAAGGGCTACCAATGGTTTGAAGGAAAGAATAGTATTAATTAATTGCATAGCCTTCCTTCCAGCGCTGCACTCCTGGAGTCGCTGAGAAGGTCACGAACCAGAATAATGACAATGTTTTTCTCGATAATGCAACGAATGCAATGGTTTGGTATCGTTTAACATGGGGTTGTGTAAACCCTATGTATGCACTACCCCCGGGACTCTGTGACGAGGCAGAATTTTGCGCCCCCCCCCCGGCCGCCTCATTGATATATGTTATTTTTGATAGGTTAAGTTAGGTTTAAGTAATCTTTTTCGCCACCGTTGGGCAACCCATCCCCAGCTACTCCTTACCCCCGTTCCCATTTCCCCGCGCCGTCACGCACTAGGCATCAAGGAAGAGGATCCCACGTGACCCCGGAAGAAAGAGACATCCCCCCTACGAGCCCCCCAGATGAGAAGAAGAAGGACACCCGATGGCCCCCCCAAAACCAGGGAAGAACAAGTGAAAATGATAGGCAGCTATCACTCGTGCCACAGCTGCCCTACGAGTCACTGCCCCGTAGAGTAAAAGAGTTACACCGAAGCGACCCTGTGTAAAGACCCTGACAAATTGTGAAGAAACAAAGTGTGAGGAAAGGAATTAGTGTGTAAAAGGAATTGTTGCAGGAACTATTTTGAGAAATGCTGTGAGAGGAACTATTGGAAAGAATGTGAAGAGGAGAACTATTGCGAGGAGAGGAACTATTCTCGTGTGTGAAAGGAACTATTGGAAAGATTGTGAGGAGGAGAACTATTGTGGAGAGACACGGAGAGAGCAGAGAGAGAGAGAAGGAAGGAAGGAGGCAATAGCCCAGAGGAAAACCGAGAGAATTCTGAGGACACCATTCCCCGTGAGTGCCCCATTTTTTATTCCCTGCCCCAACTAATTTCCCTGCCCCGTGTCAATTTCCCACCCAACGGTGAGCCTCCAGTAAATTTATTTTAGTTGTAGATTAAGCCACCTATTAATTATTACCTTTTCAGTCGGCCCCCCTCACTTCTCCCCCATTTTCCAGAGTTAGAGCCTCCCCTTCTTTTTATTATATTATTTCGCGTAGCCGCAAGTGAGTTGGCCTTACCCCCCACCCTCGAGTTCTATTAGTTAAAAGGCCCGGATGATTTTGATGTAATAGTTTGTAAAAAGAGCAGAATACAGATAGTCAATTTATAAATCCCCCCGAGTAATTATTGAGAATCCCCCTCCCTCGTATTATTTCAGGTCCTCCCATAAATTATAATAAACTTCCCTTTCATTTTTTAGATTATCGTAAATTTCCCAATATCGTACCTTCGCCGGGAATTATTATATTTTAATTCTCCGGCCAAGGTCACACTATATCCTATATTAAAAAGGAGAAGGGAAATCGACCTCGAAATATCTCGAAATATCTCGAAATATCTCGAAATTCTCGAAATATCTCGAATGACCGTAAGATGTGTAAGCGTAAGAATTAAAATAAAATCTCCATAGAATTGACGCCGAAAGGACATCTGTCGTTTTTATGTCCAAAAATTTATTTTTGATGATCACATGATTATGTCATGCCCAATACTTCGTATTACCGTTTCCCGCTCTGAACTATCGTGCAACGAAGTCAGTACGTCGTACTGTTTTTTTTTTAATGAAAACGTGGAACGTAATCAGGAAAAAGCAATGCCATCGGTGAATTTCAAGTTCAATTCCAACAAGGCCATTGATAATTTCAATCCGGGAGCTACGTTGATGTGAGTATTTATCGAAAATATCGTCAAATTTAATCAATTTTCCAAGGGCTTCTTATCCTTTAAAATTATCGTTCATGGAAATTCTCTGGGTATGTTGATACTTTGGAAGGGTTGAAAGAATTGCGCAATTCACTATCAAATTGGATTTTTAAATGCATTGTTAATAACAACACTGGTCGAAGAGTCCGCCTTCTCTTCTGGGGGGATGACGCATTGAAATGTAACAGAGATTCTCATGTACCAGGTACTTCAGTGTTAATAGTTTAAGTTAATTACCCAATGAAAACGAACATAAATTAAATAGAATTAAATTTGGAGAAAGAAGAATTTTTCAATGGACTTTTTTTTTAATTAAATGTAAAAAATGCACAACTTTTTTTTCGTTTTCACAGATTGTGAAGATAACTGGTGGAATAATCTCAGCTTCCAACCCTCGATTTCGTACATCTGGAGACACCGTCTGTGAGAATGAATTTCAATTTGGCTCTGGAAGTAAGCTAGAAGTCTTGGGACAGTTTGACGTAGCAAATGGTGCTACTGAGAAGTTGAATAAAATCATCCATTACCAGTCCATTGAACTGGAAAATGTTTATGCTGCTCGCGGTTCAGTTATGGTGACGGGATGGATTAAGGAGCATTTCACGACCATTAGCACATCCAGTGCGAGCTATGGAGCTGGAATGATTTGCACCGCTGTTCATCGTTTAAATATCCACGTTACAACTTTCGTTCCCAGAGATGATTTGGTCGAAGGAATAAAAGTGTCTGTCAAGGAACCGTCGTTGTGACGCTTTCGTTATACATGCAAGAGACATGAGTTGCATCGAAATCATACGTGGGGTTGAAAATATGACGGAGGAGGAAATGGATGAAGCAGTCGGGGCTCCCTGACTGGCGAGTGTTAAAAGAGAAGCATCTGACGTACTGCATGAAAATGATGGAAAGGTATTAGTGTTTTTTGTTTCACTTTTAAAACTCTCATTATAAACTTTGCAATTTCCCTTTATATTTACTTTTTTGACTTATTTAACTATAGACGGTCCTCGAAAGGAGGAGGGCACAATTAGCCTTGCGGCCATTTTGCGCTCTGCCTGGGGCAGCCGTCTAGTCGAGAGGTGTAAGCATCTGTGCCCCACGTGCGAATTCGTAAAGTCCCTTGAAGGCGTCCCTGTCGACGTAAAGATCTTTAAGGCAGGTGGTCTCAAAAGTATCCAAACGGAGTTCATCAAGACCACTGCATTTTGTACTGAGATGGTGGGGGTCCTCCTCCACCAAACCGCATCTCGGGCAAAGAGGGTCATCTCCCTTGCCGATTCTCGCCAGGTAGGCAGCTAACCGCCAATGTCCCGTGATAAGCCCTAAAAGGGCTCGCAGCTTTACCCTGCTCAGGGACACGAGTTCGTCAGCCAGTTTCCTGGAGGGTTCGCGGAGAAGGGATCTGGCGCCCATCCCTGAGCTCCATCTCTCCACCACTCCCCTGTCCGCGCGCTTTTGGATTATTTCCTTTATCTAGTCTGAATGAACACCAAAGTGGTCTTCATTCACCAGCGCCATTGCTTGACATCCCTGTTTGGCCAGCATATCGGCTTTTTCATTGCCAAGTATGCCGGCGTGACCTGGTATCCAGGACACCTTTAATTTGTTGCAAGTTGCAACTTTATCCATCAACTCTATGCAGTCGTCTACCAACCTGGAGCCACTCTCGTGTTTAAGTAGGGCCCCTAGTGCCCGCCTGCTATCCGAGTAGACGTGTATTACCTTGTCCTTGTCCTGCCTGGCCAGTATGATTCTGGCGCAGGCTCTCAAGGCAGCTAATTCTGTGTGAAGCGGGGTGGCATGTGGGTCCAGTCCAAGGGCCTTCTCAACGGAGTGTCGATTGGACCACACTCCTGCTCCCGCTCGGCCGCACATCTTGGAGCCGTTCGTGTACCAGACCAGCCCGTGAGGTGGCGAGCATTTAGAGCCCACCCAGGCCTGCCAGTGTCCGCAGTGCCTAGGTTAACCTTGAACCTCTTATGAGGGTGCCATTCAGTTCTGCATGCGTCTCCCCCTTTGAACAGCGAGCCAAGGAGCACCCTGTCCTCCGTGAGGAGCGAAGCATGCCCCTTCTTGGTTTCCCTCCAGGTGTCAGTGAGTTGCAGCCTGGCTGCTGTAGACAGCGCCACATCCCTTATAATGAGGTGTGGCGGCTGCATGAAGAGTAGCGCTTCCAATGCCGAGGTTGGAGTCGTTCTGAGCGCCCCCGTAATTCCCAGCAGAGCAAGCCTCCCCAGTTTAGCCACCGTTTTCCTGTGGCAGGCCTTGTTCATGGCCGGCCACCAGGCAACAGCTGCATAGGTTAGTTGTGGGAGCATGATGGCTGTATAGATCCATCTTACGACCTTGGGTCTTAGCCCCCACGTGCTGCTAAACATCCTTCTGCAGGCCCAGTATGTCCCTATGACTTACTTACTTAACAAATCCCTAAATACGTCTCTCGATACGTCAAAGCAAAAACCTCAATCGAGGTCGTCAGATCACGTGGTTCTCATCTGGGTGCCACAGTACTATCAGTGGGACCACGTTACATCTGCCACAAACCCGCGGCGAACAGTACAGAAGCAATTTCAGTTTATTAATAAAAAAAATGTGTTATGATTATACCTCAAATTCTTTCCAAATTTCTAATAATCATTAACCAACGCATTCACATGGTTTTTTTTTCCTTTCAGAAATCGAAGAGAGATTAGTCTTCATTGTGCATTTCTCGCTATTAATTTTTAATAGTTGATATTTTTTACCAATGACTTTGGGGATTTATACGAAAACAGTACAAAGAAAAAAAAATCAGATCAGATGGAATTGATATTTTATCTTCAATTTTCTCTTTATTCGCCGTAAGAAATAAATAGTTATTATTCTAATCCGTGATGTAACCAATATGTTTGTTTATAAACTATCCTAAAACGTCAATTGCGATTGTTGGAGAGAAGACTTGTCGTTCCAAATAAAGAAAAAGATATTCTGTTAGTTTAGTTGCATGGAATACTAATTTTTACGTACAATTTCTGTGACATTCTGAGACTTTATGACTTTATCCTCATCCGTATAATTCTTTCCTCTCAAACTTGATCGAACATTCAACATAAAAAAATAGGAAAAAAAGAGGGCACCACATGCAATTATAAAATCGAATTTTTTCAGTCTACAAACTAAACGACTGTTGTGATCAATAAAGAAATCATTTTACAACAGACATAATTTTGTTATTGTTATGTATAAATATCCGTTCGTAAACCGAATTTTTCATAGTTCATAACCTAACGCTGCAAAATCATAGGAAAATTACGTGCATTGTGTGAGATCATGTAATTTTTCGGTTCACGGTGGCTTTGACACGACATGTAAGTATCAATTTACTATATTTATGTCAATAAATAAACTATTCGTTAAAGATATTATTCTATCAAAAACTTTCCCTTTTCCCTTTCTAAAAATAAGAGATTCAACCTAATTAATTTTAAGAAATAAAATAATCAAATGCACCATAATGTGTAATTGGAGGTTATGCAAATGTATCACATTTTTCAAATAATTTTTTCTAGCTACATCACATTTCGTCGCCTGATGGCAATAATACGGCTTCACTGAGAAGTGTTTGTATCCCTTTAAAAAAAAAAGCATGTAACGTTTTTTGTCAGCTTTTTTTGACGCTATGCATATCAACATATATTTATATAATATTACATATATATATATAAAATATATATATATATATACATCAAAAAAATTATTTCTAATTTAATACTATGTATTTGTTCAGCGGCGTGGTCCGGGGAAACCATGGGCGAAAAATTTTGCGGATGAGGTGCACGTCGTCATCCGGGTTCTGGGCGATTGCGCTTGGTAGTCCGGTATAGACCACCTGGACCTCGTCTCCCTCCTCCATCGGTTGTGGAGAAAAAGACCTAGGGAGTCTGGGATGGACTCGTCGTCGCTGTCGGCGGTGAGACGCTCCGGCGATGTAGACCTGGGGGAGTCCGTGTTGGACTCGTCCTCGGTGTCGGACTTCAGGGTCTCCGCCGCTGAAGATCAGGGGGAGTCCGGGATGGACGCCTCCTTTTGCACGGTGTCAGAGTCAGGGTTGTTGAGCTGGGGAAGTATGGCGCGTCCCCGGCCCATGGAGTCGATGGCCAGACCGAATCCTGCGTTCTTCGGACTGCCTACAGCTCCCTGCAGTTCCGGAGCACCGCCTCTGGCAGCTCGTCTTCTCGGAGAAGGTGCCCGGGTTGCCTCAGGTCCTGGGTCCCGTCCGCCCAAACCCAGGTCAAGCAGTACCAGGTCTGCCTGCTGAGATCCACCGGTGTCCATTGCTCCAATGACGATGTGGTGCTGGTGGGTTGCTTCATGTTTTCGACGGTGGTAGGTTGGGTGTCAAAAGTTGAATTGATTTCCGAGCCCAGGTCTTTGGGTTTTTAGACGGTGGAATTTGGAGGAAAGGACGGCGGAAGGGGGTTGTTTTCGTGACGGAGCCCTCTCTTGGCGGGGGTGTTTTGAGATAGCCGATTTTTTTTTTTCGTCCGGGTTCGTCCCCTTTTTTATTGGTTGGCGGATTCCCTTTCCATTTCTGTATGTGCCTGTTCTATCCTGGCCCCGAAAGTAGATTTGGTCGAGCGTGGGTTTGACCAGAAAAAGTAGTTTGTGACGAGAATACCTGGGTCTCGACTACAAAAAATGGGTTTCGTCATGTAAACTTGAGAAAGGTGTGCGGTCCTCGCTTTTGGCTGAGCGAAAAGGTAGAACCAAAAGAAATGCGTCTTACTTTCTCTAACGTCTGTTGTCCGGGCTAGTTTGGGATGTTTCGACATTCCGTCAATTGCTTTCCAGGAAACTTAAATTTGGTAAGTCAGACTTTCTGCAGGATAATGATGACAATAACTCGTCGAAGTTCAAGATGCAGTCGAGTGCATGGTCTTCCAGAAAGGAGAGTCAATTAAAGGGATCGTCGGTATCATCAATCGGAGCATGCTGCTGGGTTATTTTCCCTAATGAAGCCTGCTTCGACGGGGCTACTACGCCTCATTTGTCTTGTGTGGGAAGAAGGGGGCTGGGATGCTGGGTTGAGGAGTCCATCGTGTTTTATCGGAGCCCTTGTGCCCCACTGGGACAAATGAAATTATTGCTGTCGTGGTTGCAACATTTTCTTGGAATTCACTTCGCGTCTCTTTCTCTTTGCAGTTTCTTAAAAGTATAAAAATACATGTAAAGGAAACACGTAAAAAAAGGTATTATTGCTTTCCGGGAAAGGAACCGTGGTCGTTTCAATATGGGGAGAGAGAGCAGAGACGACCGTTTTATTTACGGTGCTCATACCGGAAGGGTCTCTCGCCCATCGTTTCCAGATTGGGGTAAAGTTCTTGCGGTAATTGTTCCATTGGTGCCATCGGTCGAGGTACTTCGGACATATGCTGTCCATTTTCGAATTTCTGATTAAATGTTTCTCCTGGAGTCCGGCCAGAAACCTTTTAGTGGCAGGAGTGATACGGAAGGTGTGCTCCTGGCGAGCTGGAGTTGGAGGTTCCCGTGGACGCTGGGCGTACTCTGTAATACCCGACGTGTCGAGGCTGGGTGTGGGCAAGGTCATTGGAAGGCTGAGCCTGCACGAAGTTGCCCTGGGGGTCTCTTACCAGGTGGAAGTTTACAGGAGCAGAATCTGCTACCTTGGGAGCTCAGTAACTTGGTCCCAACAAGGCGTCTAAGTGCACGTCTTGGGGGTTCCTGTGGATGGCTGCCAGTTTCCGGATCTGGTATTTGCGACCAGCACGCCTGGTTCGTTTCACCATTTGGACCCTCTGATTTTGTACTGAGGACACCCGTTTGAAGGTGGTTTAATATTCGTCGTCCGCATCTTGTTTTTCAGGGGAATGCGGAAGGTGAAAGAGCTATCTTCTGCTCCGATCTCAGGAGGAATGGTAGAACAATTGTCTACCCCTTACCAGGAAAAGTTCCAGGAAAGTGGGAGCAATCTTCTGCTCCACACGGAAGGTGGAAATAAGAACCAGAGGTGAGTGAATTCGGAATTTCTTCGAATTGAAAGTGAATTCGGATTTTCTGCCGAATTCTTCTCGCACACTCACGCGCACTCAACACATATGACCCACTCAGCTGATTAACTCGCTCGCTAACATCAGATGACCAGTAGCCTTTTACCCCTGACACCTGAGGCGCTACTCGATGGACAGGTGTATCTGACCATGGCGATGATCGACACCTCCCGCCATGCGACTCCCGGCATCACTCTCTCCCATTACCATATCAACCGTGAGAGGGTTTACACGCATTTTTTCAGTACGTCATGTTTGTTAAATTAATTGATCCGCTCCTTTATTAGTTCTTCTCGAAATTAAGTCAATAATTGATTGAATTATATTTCGTCATTGCTCAGCTCTGTTTAGTGATATAATAACGTGTAACAGTAACTTTTATTGTTAATTAAATTGACTTTCGTGACGATGCCACGCGAGTGATTATTTCATCCTCTCCACATCCATCCGCAATCCACTTGCATCTCGTCCATCGACTAAAAACATCCCAAAAACCAGATCCCTCTTTGAATATTTTGGTCCTTCGAGCCGGATCCGCAGGATATTTTTTAGTTTTCGCGCCTAATTACTTTTCTACGGGAGTGCTAGTGATTAGAGTCAGTGCTCAATGGAGCTCAACGTGCAGAGTCGCCGCCCCAGAGAATTGGAATTCGTCCAGCTCAAGCGGTACTCCACCAGTTTTTCTCGAATCACATCAGAGACCTGTGTTACCGACCCAGTTATAAGGCGTACACTCAACGACCCTCTCAAGGCGTAGAAATGCAAAATTGATCAGCTCAACTAAAGGGAAGTGAATGTTATTTCTCATTAGTTTCTACTGACCTCTCTCACCTGTTCCGAAGCTGGGATTTACTGCCGTCTATTTTTTTCTTTTATTGGGCTTTTTTCCTTTTTTCATTCTGTTGCTTTCTCCTCCGTTATTGGCCTTCGTTCTTAGACTCTGCTCTCGATCATCTCTATTTGTAAGTTCGCTACTGCTGTCATTTGTTTGTTGGACTTTGCTATTTTCTTGCTTTTTTTTTTATTAACATTTCGCTTTTCGCTCAGCAATTTTTAGTAAAATTGCAACTATCAATGCAGTTATTTCTCTGCAAATGATACGTGCGGCTTTCATAAAAGGCATTTTTAAAGAGACCAATGAGGACATTATTAAGCAACTCGGCGTGACTGCTCTCGACTCGAAGCTGATCACGCTTGAAAACTATTGGGCTAAACTGGAATCTGCTCATGAGAAACTAGTTTTTCAAAAAATCAAGAACTTGATCTCTCTCGATTATTTCAAACATTAGGTCTTTGATTCAGCTTTTAATAGTTTCGCCTTTGCTAAGGTG